ACTTTAAAGAAAGGTAAGGCCTTCTCAGCTGATCTGGACAAGAACCGGTTTAGGGCCGCCAGGCGCCCCGTCAATCTCTGGACATCCCTTACCGAGGTTGGGGGTTGCATCTCAACAATGGCCTTGATCTTCTCAGGATTTGGCTCAATCCCCCTCTTCGTGACCATGAACCCCAAGAACTTCCCCGTCCTCACAGCAAAAACACACTTCTTCGGGTTAAGTCTAAGATTATGCCTAGCCATAATCTCAAAGCATTTTTCCAGGTCCTGAGCATGTGTGCCGCTTGCCCTGCTCTTCACCAGCATATCATCGACATAGGCCTTCATGGTCCGTCCAAGCGAAGGCCTGAACAATTTGTTGACCATTCTCTGGTAAGTTGCCCCTGAGTTTTTCAACCCAAAGGCCATCACCTTGTAACAGTATGTGCCGTCCGGAGTGAGGAAGGCCGTCTTCTCCTCATCATCCTCCGCCATGAAGATTTGATGATACCCCTTGAAGGCATCCATAAAGTTGAGCAACTCACACCCGGCAGTTTCATCAACCATTTGGTCCGGGCTAGGGAGAGGATAAGAATCCATTGGGCATGCCTTGTTGAGGTCTGTGTAGTCTACGCACATCCTCCAAGTATCGCCCTTCGGAGCTAGGACTACATTGGCCAGCCATTCAGGGTAGTTTACTCCCCTGGTATGACCTACCTCAAGTAGGTCCTTGACCTCTTTCTTCACAAAGTCCCTCCTATCACTTGCCAAAAATCTCTTCTTCTGTCTTACAGGCCTAGAGCCCTCAAGAACAGAGAGACGATGGCAAATGACTGACCGGTCAATCCCGGGCATATCAGCAACACTCCAGGAAAATAATGATTTATACCTGGTCAACACCTGGACAATCTCAGTCCTAAGCTCTTCCTGAAGGTCAGCCCCAATTTTGACCTTCCTCTCAGGATTGGAGGCATCAATCTGGATCTCCTCCGTGTTTGCATCCGGCTCGATCCTAGCCTTCTCCTCACCCTTGTCTACCTGCTGGGAGACCAATTCAATTTGTTCGAACTGGCGGGTCATCTTCTTCACTGCTTCCAGGTAGCAGGACCGGGCGTTCTTTTGATCACCCCTTTCCTCCCCGATTCCATTGGGAGTGTAAAACTTCATGCATAAGTGTGCCATGGAAATAATAGCCCTGACTTGGTTGATCCCAGGCCTACCTAGAATGGCATTATGCACACACTTGATGTCGACCACAACAAATCTCATTTGTTTGGTCACTGTCCTGTTTCCCGACCCCAAGGTAACTGGTAAGGTGATCTGACCTTCCGCTTCTATGCTAGCTCCAGTGAAACCTGACAATGGAGTTTGCAACGGTCTCAACATGGACCTGTCCAGCTTCAATTTCTTGAAAGCATCCAAGTATAGAACATTGACACTGCTTCCTGTGTCAACCAGGACCCTGGCCACATCTGCTCCATTGATGTCCATTGTAATAACCAAAGGGTCATTATGATCTCCCCCCGTCCTGGGCAGATCCCTATCAGTGAAAGTGATAGGTTCCCTCCTTGCCTGCTTCCCATGTGACTCCAGGGAAACCACCGCCACGTGCAAACTCCTGGCCCAGTTCTTCCGCTGGGAGGCAGTATCCCCGCCTTCCGGGCCGCCGACAATCATTTGTACAAATTCTTTATCCGGATTGTTGTTATCCTTCCCGGATTTTCTCCTTCCCTGGTCTTTTCCCTGATGACGGGTCCTGGTGTTCGCTTTCGGGTCTTTCTTATTACCCGTCGCGTAACCTTCCCCAAGCTCTCCTTTCAAGGCCATCTCCTTGAGCACAACCTTGACATTTCGGCAATCTGCCGTGTTGTGGGAATCGGATTGGTGGTATGTGCACCACTTCTCCGTCCATTGTCTCTTGGGTTGCTCCCCCTTCTTATCATCCCTTATTTGGTGGATGGATCCGTCATATGTAGCCTTTAGTTTGGACCCTCCCATCTGGTCGTCCTTCTTTAGCTTGTCAGATTTCGGCTTTGTGTAGCCTTCCTCCAGCTCCCGCTTATTCTTGTTCAGCACTTCTGCCTCGGCATATTTCCATGCCGTATTGTAGGCTTCCTGATAAGAGGAGGGCGGCCTCCTACAGAATTCAGTGTAGAGGTCACTTGACCGAAAGACATTCATCAACAAAGACATGGACGTCTTATCGTCCATTTCTTCTACCTTGTCAACCTCATCCCTCCAGCGGGTTAAGAATTGAGTCAAGGTCTCTTTCTCCCTCTGCCCTACCGTGTTAAGGTAGGTAAACTTCTTCCTCTTGATGCAGTTGTCCTGGTACTTCTTGCGGAAAACCTCAGCAAGTTTTTCAAAGGACCCTATCCTGCCATGGGGAAGGCCGTTAAACCATTCCACTGGCCTCCCTCTCAAGGATGAGAAGAAGAGCAGGCATTCCTCAGCATCAGTGCACCCGGCCATCTGTGCTGCATTGTGGAAGGTGTCAAGGTGGACGTTTGGATCCTCCTTTCCAGTGAATTTTTCCACGTCGAGCTTGACCTTACGCCTCAATTTTTGTGCATGTACCCTGGCCGAAAAGGGTGATTTGGCCAGGGTGTGCTTCTTTGCTCCCGCCTTCTCGTCCACCTTTTCTTCCAGGGCACGCAGCTTTCTTGCTACGCTTCCTATCTTGTCCAGATCATCCTCATCATATGAGAGCCTGGTATATGCCGACGCCCT